TATATACTCGATGCATATCATCTTTTAAAACTCACTAGATATGTCGACGGTTTACTTTGAGATGTAGTGAAATGACTGAAATATTTATATGTGTGTACATCGCAATATATACATTTCTAAAATGTATTTGCGTTAATTTGGGTCTGCTGGCTCCAAAGGTCCCCTGAGGTGCTGTAATTAGTATAGTCTAAGTTCCCATGTCTTTGTTCTGGAGAAATGTCAAGGGTTAAAAATCCGCTGTTTTTGCCCCCTTCCTTGATCTGGGAGAAAAAGAGGCTGCTGGCACCTTTATGGGGCTCAGGCATGCTGATACTTTGAACAGGACCTGCCCACTAACTTTGATCACCCTTATCAATCCCAGCTGCCGTCTATTTGTTTGTCATTTCGGCCTTTTCCTTCATAATGATTATTTATGGGCTGCAAAATGAACACTGCGAACCTGCCTTTGCCAGACACCGCGCAAAACAGGCGAGGGCAAGAAAAAAACATTGCTCACCAAATTATAACCAGATCAGGAATGACTTCATTAGCGAATACTCGCCTATTGGCTGGGCTCAGGGGACCTGCTCCAGTAAACACAACTGCTATTTATATACACTGTGAGTACGTGCATTTATCTGTAATACCTTTTAGCCAGACTATCTGTAGATGCGGACAACAATCTTAATAATATTTAACTGGCTTCAACTTACAAATCATACAAATCAATACGGATCCATATGTACAATTTGTTTACAAAAAGTTTAATATTAAAAAAGGTAAAGTATGCTTTACACACACACACACACACACACGCACACACTGGGCAGTCAGTCTGTTGCCTGCAGTGTTTTTATAGCAATCTTATTTGTGTAACTGCACGTTTAATGTGTAAAGCTTGGTTTAGGCATTGCATTGGCTTCCACCACGCCAGCATTTCCAATAAAAACACACAGAAAAATAAGGCTGGAATGGAACATGAATATTAGACAAGCCGCTATCACATTTCACCTGGGCTAAATTAAAATAAAACGTTATGCATGGATTATAGCAGCCGACCTGAATTGAAATGTCAAACGTAACAGACAGAACTAATCTGTTAAATGCAAAGCCGCGTAAAACTTAACTTAAAAAAAATCTCGCCAATATTATCCCGGAGCACAATTCTTTAATGGGTGAAGTATCTGCGTGTAAAACAAATGCCCACGTAGTTTTAACGTTCATTTCACGAACAAAACGGGAACTCCGTGCAGATCAAAACTAATTTCGATGCAGACGAGTCACGTCTGGAAACTCGTCACCCACAAGCGGTGGCGAGACAGCTGTACAGTGAGTTAGTAGCTCATATGACTGATTCCGATCAAAACCTTTTAAATCAAACGTTCCCATCTCTTAGACTTAATTCTATATAAGCGTGAGGTTTGCCGAGATGAGCGATTGCAATAGTACAGATTCGTCCTGTAAAATATTCTGGGAACTGCTGGTTCAGTGCAATTGGTACCAAGTTGCAGTCTTTTGCAGTGTTTGCAGTCGGTTGTGCACAGGCTCCGACTGAAGTTTCTCGTACAAGTTTATTTTTGCTTCTCGAAATGTTTCTCTCACGTGATGTCTGTTCTTAAAAGTCCGGCCACGGAAGATAGTTAAACGCATATCTGTCGCACTATTTTTTTTATTATTATGCGAGGCCACTGTCATTTCAAGGCATAATGTTTAGTTGGTGAAATAATTTTTTTTAAAAAATCTGTGCTGCTTTATCTGTACTGTTGCAATCGCTGGTCTCGGCGAACCTCACACAGCCTTCACGACGTCCTGTGATCAATTCAGAAGATTGTTGTTCAGTTGTGGTGTAGTTCAAAATTTTCAAACAATATTTTGGTTAACCCTGTTCAACATTTCGAGAGTATTTTAAGAGCGTGCTGTTGATCATTGGTACATCATAAGCTCACCTTTTGCTTGTCCGATACAACCAGAGTGCTTATAGCACACATTAAATGGCTCAGGTTGTCACACCAGCACGGTCCAGTGAGATCTATTTGCATATTCGGTTTATTTCGATTAAATAGTTATTAAATTCAATCCCATGATTAATGCTATCCCCTTCACCCCCCTCCCCCCCCCCCCCCAAACACACACACCATTCCCAATCCACATCCATTGAATCCCCTGCGTGCGTGCTGTCAACTGCATAAATTATGATCAGATTATACACTCGTCCACTCGAGTTTAGCCTTGTCCTAGTTATTCTGAATCTCAGATTGCTACTCTTGTTCCTCGTTTGACCACAATTCGCTGACTTTCCATCGAAATGCAAGCCTGATTAAACGCCTTTTGTAAACTGTTCGAAGTACAGCGAATTCCCGTTTTACAAGATGAATATGCAATAATCTGAATTTAATGGGAATTCCTGTTAAGTGTGTTTCATGATTAATATAATTTCTAGGCAGAGTAAGGGGGGGGGGGTGGGGGGTGGGGGTGGTATTGTCAACGCGGTCTCTACCTTTAAAGAAGATAATTAGCTCATTCAAGGCAGAAACTTCACTGCCTTTCTGGGCTATTTAATTGTCAAGGAAAGTGTAGAAAACGCAGCTGATTGTCTTCATTATGGCTTTCAAACTGTTCCCATTAGGCTTGTGAAACGCTTCCTCGGCTGCCTTGAATAAGCTCATACATCTTTGCAGCTTCTGTCCAACAGGGATATTGGGCTTTCTAAAAAGAGCTCGTCACACAATAACATTATCACATTTATGCGCGGATTTCTGCCTTCTGTCTTTATTTCGCCTTTAATCAAACGATCAAGGGGGACGTTTCCCCGAGCAAAAATAAGGCGGTTGGTACCCCCCTCCCTTTTTTTCCCCCCAAAAACCAGAAACAATAAGGCTTTCTGAAAGAACAAATATTGACATTTAGCTCGAGAGCAGGAGCAACGGCAGCCCGACGTGAAAGCGCCTGCAGTAATATTTGACAACACCGGCATTCCCGCAGGAGCCCACCTGAGATTAAAGATTACATTTCAATAAATCTGCTCGAATGAAGCGACGTGAATTGCAGGCCTGCGGAATGTTTGCTTTTACGCTTAAAACCCTCCTGCCTTTGGAGTTTGTTTTTTTAAACCCCCAGAGACGCCTTCTATTCATATTGAACAGTATTTAAATAGAGTATACTTTCTTCACTTGGTGACCTTTGGAGTCCCTGTTACGCTACTGCTGAAGTAATGGTCGTTTTGGTCTACTGGCAAAAATATACAAAGTCTGTTTTAATTAACACTGCAATAAAAGTCACCACCAGCACCAAGAGGTTCACAGATGGCCATGTGACAAAATGTCACCCTATATTCTCCAAACAGTGAAGTTACTGGGTTGGTTCCCTGTTTGACAGTGTTACAAAAATACATTCTCGACAGCGAATTTTATTTTATCAGCACAAACTTATCTCATTCATTCGGACAGCGGGTATAAATAAACCGATCCTGCTTGGGGTTTCTTATCCATTATTATTTTAGATCACTTAACATCAGTGTGTTTTTTAAAACAATATTTCTCAAAATAAGTTAACGTCTGAGTAAATACAAAAAAAATAACAAGCACTCGTCTGCCCTCTCCTATACCCGCTAAGAAAAAAAAATCAGAATAGCCAAGAACCGATTCTGACATTTTTGCACTCTTTTCGTGTACTTCACACCGATCCTCGTTTCTTGTCAAAGTGATGGGAGAAATATATTCCTAATGAATGAGCAGCGGCGAAAAAAGCTATCGCTCTTTCCCAACAGAAGTAGCACTGTATAACAATATCAGGCTTGATCAATGAATGGGTCATTAGACACTTAACATCCCGAAGGCTGATGGCTTCAAGTGTTGCAGGGGATCACTTTCAAATGCCCTTCGCTAACGAGAAGTGACCAACGCCAACAATTTTCAGAGCGAAATAAGTCACTGGGGAAGCTATCAGAGCCTGCGTGTCAATTTCTCCTGTTAAAGCAATTTCTCCTCAGCCGCCAGATTGAGGCATTTGAGATGGCAGATGTTTAGACAAGATTTTATAAATTGTCGAATATCCGCCATAATGCACCCCGACTGGCCGATCCAAACGGAAAAGCAACTAGTATTCCCCCCCCGCTGGGATTTATGCTCCCTTTTTTTTAAAAAAAATCACACAGTACGACATTATTACTCAGTTCATGGACTGAAATGCATGGGGCTTTGAAGCATTTTGAGATTGATTGTAGCAAAGTCAACGGCATTGTTGTAGGTCGTCGACTTGTCACATTCGCTAATTTTGGATATTTATGTTCCTTTAGAAAAGGCGCTAATTATAATAATTAATTACACATCTTTAGTTTTCTTTTAAACACAATGATCGGTGCCCTATAATAAATAGTGGCTTTTTTTTCTGGAGGGGTTGGGGGTGGGGTGGGGTGGGTGGGGGGTGTCTTGGGCTAAAATAAAGCAACCTGCTGCTGTCCTGCCGGTGTTCTGCCTTTAGTGATCTCTGATGTTTTTATGGTTTTTTTTTATTCGTTTCTTTTAAACAATCTGCCGCGACTTGTATCAAGTTACAATTATTTTTCAATGTATACACAACACTCAGATCTCACTGCTGAAATTATGAATTACGCCGCCGATGATTTTTGCTTTAGATAAGTACATTATGATACCATAGGGCTGACTGTATCCATTTAAGTTATTTAAAATGTAATCTTATTCTGAATTCGGAAAGTATACAACGACTGGAAATATAAGAAATGCTACTTTTTGCGGAACACAATCGTTAAGTGTTGTTAGATAAGGAAAATATACAGATTCAAAGTCTCTGAAATTGGCATTTGCTTCTGTTATTAAAAGACTATTATTTAAATTGTTTTGCCACTCATTAAGCATTGAGTCGTACAAATATTTGAGCGTTATATAATTTTAAATCTGGTTTCCCAGCTTTACCGCCTACGTTCAAACGGCAAACAACAGTTCTGATTTGAAATAAATATCAAACGCATTCTTTAAAGATATTTTAATTAAGTTTCCATCACCAACGCGAAATAAAATAAAATTTAACGTCAAATAAACCTCTGAAATGAAATACTAATAATTCAAACAACATTTCGAACAAATTGTAGTTGCAGACTAGTCAATTTTATTTACATTTAAAGATATAAATTAGTAAAGAATCCTTATAACAACCAAACAGATTGTAACTGTCATCACGTTTCAAAAAAAACAAGCAGATTTATTTACAAAATGTTCAGATTTCATTGCAATACAACTTGCATAAATTACTAGAAGCTTTATGTCGTCATTACAAAAATAAATATCAAATGTTTTCCACTTTTTCAGATACTCAAGATCTTCAATCACATTGTTCTACTGTATATCTACAAATAGTTTTACAATAAGCCGCATTACACCAAGAACGTGGCAAATAAACGGATCAAGTGAAGAGAACCTGAGAACACATTATCCAAAGTCACATATACAGAAGAATCATTATTGTAACTAACAAATGCACAGATATGTTTGCACGGATTTTACTTTTTTTTTAAATTAACATGATCTGTGGAATTAAAATAGTGCTCTGTGGGTATTCTCTATACAGTGGCACAAGATGTGATCCGGTATTATATACATTTTTTTTTGCTTAATAGCTGGGGGGGATGGCTCGCTGATATTTTCAAAGCAATTGTGACACCTACCTGCAGACCAAGGAAATAAAAGAAAAATCCCAATCAGCCAACTTGTTCAATTGTGAACACACAACTGTCACATTTTCAAAGACACATTAAACACAATTAATGGAGACATTGCAAAATTTGTGTGGTAGTAAGGGGTAGGGGTGGGGGTGGGGGGGGGGGGGGGGGGGGAGATGGGGTGGGGGGGGAGGGGCATTACTTATGCCCTAAATTTTCAATCCATAAATAATGGGAGTAAAATAACTTAATACAACTTTTAGTTACGGCAAAAAAAATCTGCAGCACATTTACTTTCACTACTTTAATTTTAAAACCCTCCTATAAAAGTTTAAGTCCATATGATTACTTACTTGCACTGCTGATTAAACATCTATAGATATGGTTGCACTCCTACTGTGCAGACATCGCTGGGGTCTGTCAAAAAATACAACCATCATTTAGTCACAGCTCGCTCGCTCTCTCTCTCTCTCTCTCTCTCTCTCTCCCTCCCAACTAAAGATTACTGCTACTACACTTTTGTGTGTGGGTGTGGGTGTTTTTTTTAGAAATAAATAATAATTGATAAATCTTATGTGATCCGACCATGCAGCACTTGTAGCGACAGCTTTGCAGAACCCACCCCGGGTATTTTTTTTTGTTAAGGGCTAATGATTTGCCTCTCACTGCACATCTCCTGTAAGCAGAAAGCTTGGCATCAGCACGTACCTTTTTTGGAGTCGTAAGCCGTGGCCCTGAAGTGTTGGTCCAGCTGGGAGCTCGCAGTTTTTAGAGAGTCAGTGCTTTGTTTGTGTATGGAAGCAGTGTTTAAGACAGAGTCGTTGGTGCTGTACCGCAGAATGCCTTGGGTTTGCAGATGATTAAAGTTGGCGTAGTTCGTGTAGTTAGTGTAAAAGGGGGCAGTGTAGTAAATGGGTCTGCCAAGAATTGAAGTGGCCGGGTAGGTAGGGCTTGAGGAAGATGACGATGAGGTCGACGATGAAGAACAAATCTGTCCGATCTGCTGTTTTATATCCGAGGTGGCGATTTCTGCTAAGGACCAAAGTTTGGGTTTGTTGGCTTGAGTGTGTGAGGCCGGGGAGGTGATGCTGCTCAGGCTGTTTTTGTTTACACTCCCCGAGCTCTCGTCGTCTTGAACGTGAAGGAGAGGGGCTTCCACCCCGGTGAGGGGCGAGGATCTCACAGCTTTCCGAGTCAGGTCTCTCTCTTCCTCGTCGCCATCGCTCTCATCCGCATCATCGACATCCTCGTCGTCCGCAGCACAATTGTCGCATTTCTCCTTGGTTTCGGATCCCGATTCGCAGACGCTGTCGTCCACTCTGTTCGCTTTCTCCCCTCCGCACTCGGGAGAACAGGAACTGTCAGTCAGGGTGTCGACGTGCAAACTAATCCCTGCAACAAAACAAAGCACAGCTTGCTATTAAAATACTCGAACGGCCTGCCTTGGTAAAATGAGCAGAACCCGTGCAGAAAGGTTTATCTTTGAATATTTGCAGAATATTTACACGTGCATTGACATTTTATTTTTTTTAAAAAAAATGCACCAACGTGTACGATTCCCCTCATGCACACAGATACTTCACTGGCGTGTACTAAAACATCGCCCTACATTTATAAAGGTGCGGAAACACATGTATTGTAGGCGCACAGGCTTGGGATATTGTTAAAGACGGCCACATTGGTGTGTGTTTCGTTCTTTTGGAGAACTCATGAATAGCCCGTCAGCCTCAAATACAATTAAACGCTTCTGCATCACGACGTGACTGTCTCAACGATGCATTTAATGTTACAATATGCAATTGAGCAACTTTGTGTAGTGATCGGTATCTCTTGACGTGCAATGTGCATTGAATTAACAGCACAACAGGATTAACAAGCGAGAGAAATCAAAATAAAACATTGCACATCTATCCCTGCTCGTGTTTACATGTGTGTTTATGTTTTCCTCACGGTGTCTGCCCACAGTATTATTGCTTCCCCCCCCCCCCCCCACCCCACCCCCGAGTACTGTTGAACGCCTTGTTAAAATTATATCTTGATGTCAAAAAGCTCGCGAATAGTTATATTCTCATACACATACTGTGGTCTGCAGCGCAGTCGCTGCAAAACAAAAAGAAAGTTGGAAGAACGTAATATCCAATGTCACTAACCTTCATCCTCCACCGAAGTTTCGTTGTGGTCGTGGCTTTTTTCACAACTTTCCTGCTTGTTCCTTTCACTCTCTCCTAATTCCTCCTCTTCCTCGTCTTCACTTTTGTTCCTCGGAGCCCAGGTCATCTTGTTCTCCTTCTTGAGCCTTCTCCGGGCGTTGGCGAACCAGGTGGAGACCTGGGTCAGGGTCATCTTGGTGATGATGGCCAGCATGATCTTCTCCCCTTTGGTGGGGTAAGGGTTCTTCCTGTGCTCGTTCAGCCAGGCTTTCAGAGTGGCCGTGGCGTCTCGGGTGGCGTTTTTCCTGTAGGCTGGGTCGTTCAGCTGATATGGATAAGCAGCGTTACCGTACGGGTGATAACTGAGGGTCCCGGCCATCCCTGCCGTGTGAGCATCATACGGAGATCCCTAAAAGTGCAGAGGAACAAACCATCACTCTTTCGGGACAAGAGGATCGTATTTATCCAAACTCCAATTTTGCAAAATCGTACAGATCAGACCCAGTGTGCGCATTTCTTGGATTGCGCGGCCTTTTTTTTTTAACACTGTCAAGAGCTCAAATCGCACTGTGACACTCCGCGGATCGAAACACATTTCTCCTACGGTTTCGAAAGAAGTGTTTGACATTGTTGCACGATTTTTTTAAAAAAAATAAAAATAAATAAAGAAAGAAAGAAAGAAAGAAAATCAAAGATATTTTCCTGTCGGTGAAAATGGCGGCGGGTCTTCTTGGTTGCACTATTGTCAACTACTTTCACAAAGTTGCAAACGCGAAAAAACAAAAACAAAGCATGTCTGAATATGTTTTGAGGCAGTTGCAATTCACAAGCATTACTATGTTGTGGCTGTGATATTTGGTGCATCAACCAAAACACAAAGGCCACCTTCTGGTTGACCTTCTCTCTAATTATATGCGTAAACAGCGAATGCAATTACTTTTCAGCTTTGCTTCATAAACCTGGAAATCTTAACTTTGAACGTGTGCAATTGATGGCTCAACTTTAATAATAGCATTTCGTTTTTTTTTCAGACCCATTCAACTTTTTCTCCGATCAACTAACGTCTACTATTTGTGTGCCGGATCGTTGAAATCCTGTGAAACACATTCCTTTCTTTAGCAGATCGTTTCGCTTTTTTTTTTGCCTGCTTTTTATGACACAAAAATACTCCCTTCACGCACAGCATGAGTGTGTGTCTGTCCATCAGCAGAAAGCACGATCCCTCGCTATAATCAGCTGGATCGTAACTTCACAAGTACTGCAGTTAAAAAAAAAACCCAACGTTTGTCAAAAGCAGAAATAAAACTTAATTAAAGTCACGGCTGAGCAGTCCAAAGGGTCGCAAAGTTAAAAAAAAAAAATGTCTTAAATACGCAAATGCATGCATGCAATGCAGTCGGTTTAAAATTTATTGACGTACCATGTAGGACGGGAATCCAGCTGCGGGGTCAGTTGAGTACTGAAGCGGGTTAGTGAAGCCTGTAGAGGGGGCTGTGAAGGCTGCTGAGCCCGCGTATGGGCTGAACGCCGAGCCGGACGAGGCTCTGCCCAGCTCATCGCTCCTTGGGGCGGTCAGCGCCGAGGCACTGTACGCCGGGCACGAGTAGAGAGCCAAGGAGCCAGCCGGCTGGTACAGATAACCCTGAGGATAAGACATCGCTTTCCAAAACACACGCACACACACACACACACACACACAAAAGAAAACAACAAAAAAAGAAGAGATAGAAAGAGAGGGAAAGAGAAAGAGAGAGAGAGAGAGAGAGAAAGAGTTGGTTTGCTGCTAGAGAGCTAGCATGTATCTGAGATGCACCCCCCGCCCTCCCACCCCCCCTGGTTTGGCTTGGGCGCTGGGTTAGGAAGGTGTCTGCATGTGGCTGTGGCTGTGGCTGGAGAGCTGCAGGAGAGGCTCTGAGTGCTTTTGCTAAGCGCTGCTGCCGAGTGCTGGTTAGATAGCGCGGCGGCGGCCACAGCTGCTGTCAATCACCCGCGCACAATTTACATAGCGGCGGGTGCCCCTCCCCTGCCCTCCCCTCCCCCCCCCCCCCCCCCCCGGCCTCGCCAGCTCACTGACTGGGATGAGGGGAGCCTCCCCCCCACCCCCCCCCCCCCCCACCCCAGCCACCGGCCAATGGCACTCAGCTTCCTCCCAGCCAGGGACCACTTTCTGCAGCTCCTCTTTCTTTCATTCCTTCCCTTCCTTCTCCGCTTTCCCCCTTTCCATTTACCCTCTCGATCGATTCATTCATATTCTGGCCATTCCTCGCCAAACCCCTCTTTGCTTTACTTTTTTTTTCTCTCTCAACCCCCCCCTCACTCCACCCCCCCCACCCCCACACACACACACTTGCCTTTTCTTTCCATGTTGCAATTCATTTCACCGCATGCATCTCAGCTCTCTATTCCTCTCTGCCTCATTTCTCCACCCTCTCCTCCCTTTCCTCATTCATCCGTGTGCTTTTTTTTTTTGCATTTGACAATATTTCCTTTTCCTTCCCCTTCGTCCTTTTCTTCCCTTCCCCGTTCTTTTGTTTCTCCCATTGTCCCTTTCTAAAAAAACACTACTTTGCATGATCAAGTGCACCGGGTTACCAAACAATAATCATCGCCGCCTCTGCTCCTAAAAAAAAAGAGTGTAACTCAACTGATTTATTCAGAGTAAGGAAATCGGAAATCCACCAACACAACCCAGGTTTTAACATGCGACTTTGTAAATTAACCTGACACAATATCTCAGGTAATTGATCGGGATTGCTCAATCCGGTTTTCTCATTCTGTATCAATAGATTTTTCTCTGCAATTTGTTGTAGCTAATCGTTTATTAATTTATGGTACTTTTGATTTTATTTGTGCGCGTCCATAAATCCTGTTCCTCCCCCCCCCCACCCCACCCCCTCCTTTCATGACAAGTTTGTTGGTAAAACGCCGGCTTAATCCATCGCCTGTTTCTGACACCCAAGTGGCTTTCGGGGTTCGTATCTGACAATCCTTGTGCTCGTTAAATTGATGGTGAAAATATATAGTTTTATCACAGTGGGTTACATGGGAGTTATTCTGGGAATGCGCTTCGTTTCACAATGTGCAGCGTAGCTTTCGATTTTTCCACAACGAAAAAATTACAAACTGTTACTTAAAATTCTATGTGCAATATTAGAATTTCAATTCGCCTGAAATAATGGGGATTATAAATAAAAAATGACTTCAGATTGACGTCTGTGGAAATGATGGTGGACAAGCTGACGTTGTTAAACGTTTGTTTAAACATTGTTCACAAGACTAATTGCACGCCAGCCAAAGGACAGAGGGACTGCGCGTTTAAGAGAGTCTTGAGAAGTAGTCTAAGAAATCAGGTGAATAAAAAAAACAGGAAAATCAATTAAAACACGCTGGAGTACATTAAGAAGTGTCAGGAGCAAACAAAAGCAAACAAATGGGAAATGGAAACGAAACGTCGCTGGCTAGCTCAGGGGCACATTTTAACGAACGTGATGCAAACACGACGGTAGAATGGGAGCCATGCGTTTTCCCAACTCGTGTCGGTTTAGAAGGGTCAAATGAGGGAAAGAATAATGTTGAAGAAGCTTGAACTTGACAGTGAAGGCAACGAGGCTGCGGGAGGGGAGAGGAGAGGGGCTCTGATGGATTGTGCGCAGTTTGGACGCACTGCGAGGCCGGGATCCTTAAAGAAGGCGACTGTTCTGAAACGTTACCCACGAAACATAACCTGCTGAATATCTATCTCGGCACATGCATCTATCTGTGTGCATGCATATATGGATGTATAATATATAAATCTATCTATACCACATATGCATATATCATATGCATTTATTAGAGAAGCCTTCATCGTTTTTTTTTGAATCAGGTCGGTTTAAGAGGGAGTCATTGGAAGCTCCAATGAATTATTAAACTGATATCGTCCCCTTATAATTGGGACAACTTCTAGCAGCGCGCAACCCTCATCTTAAACCTAATCACAAATCATTCTGCCTTCGTGGGAATTTCCTGCAAAAAAACAAGGTGATCTCGACGGAGTAGATTTCTGAAAAGATAATGATCTCAAGCCCACTGTGTGTATTTTACGGGTCGTATTTTGAGCCGCGTTGACGTTTGTAGCAAAAAAAAATCGGGTTCATTAAGTTTTATACAATTAACGCGTCCAGTCTGGGGTTTCAATGCGACGTTTGCAGAAATGCGTCCACGATCTGCTTGCGTCCCATTCGGTGTGAACACAGATCCTTATTGAATAATTGTGATGATATAGTGTACCTTGCCTTTACCAGTAGGTGATACCGATGCCCTATATATAAGTTACAGCCAGTCTTTCTCGATGGGTTTAACGAGCTATGAACAGTCAGCTTCGTCAACTGAGAATCAACCGGTGATCTGTGTGTGTGTGTGTGTGTGTGTGTGGTCGGGCTGATTGGGAACAGCGTTATTGGTAAATGGATTATCCTAACACATATTAAATAAAAGCAGATGATATAATTACTGTTAATCAAATATGAGGTAATTCACTCTTTTGCTTGTGGGGCTGGATACAGGCTCCCGCGGAAAGCACAAGTCGAGGGACATAACACCTTGATTCACTGAAATGAACTGAACTATCAGGCGATTAAAATCCCCGCGTATGCTGTCGCGTCGGACTTAAGAAGATTACACTGCGCTGGAGGTTTCGTTTTTACTTGCGATTTAATTATTATGTAGCGTCGGTCGTTTCAGTGGCAGATCAAGATGTCACCTGAGTCAATCGTTATCTTTTTAAATATGTAAAGCACGGGGAGATCGCGCTGGTCTGCTCGCACACAGGCGAGAGAGATAGTGTGGTTTGAAGCAGTCAGTTCACGATCCTGCTGTTTTCTAAACATCGTATTTAAACAGAAGCCGCCACCCGTATACCTTACTTATATTTGCAATCCAGACAAATAGCAAATACAATTACAATCTGGATTAGTGAACCCTCCACGCATCCCCCTCAGGACTCACACTTGCAGTTGACAGTAGCCCTCGTCCCGTTGGAGTCCCCCCTTCGCTCACGTTCAACTTCCATTTATTTACCTTCTCGTCATTTCCCCATCGTTGCAGTTTAGCACAGTTTTGACGATCGGGTTCATCGGTTTACTTTACTGTGATCTACATTTTCCACGCGATTCTCAGTCTCGGGCACAACTGATCTTTTAGACATTTGTTTTCAGTTGCCACGTCCGTGTCGCTGTAATGCATTGGGAGCAAATGCAACAAATCGACCTTTTATGTTTAAGGGCAAAAAAAAACACATCCGTCCGTCCAGCTGCCATCCTGCTTGGTGAAGTGGTTCCTGTTTAGACCTGAATTTTAAATAATGTCTTGTACAAGCAGAATACAATCCTTCCGAGGATGAGGGCTGTGGAAGTGTAAGGTAGTAGCACCCAGGAGACCATCCCGGTCGTATCTTTGTGACCCACTGGACCCTTTGCTTCTTCAATTAATTGACACTTTTTGACAGTGAATGGTACATTTCTAGCCAGACTCGAATTTCCGATAGGTATGTTTTATTGCAATACAGATGCTCCCCGCAACTGAACCCCATTACATACCCACAGACCAGGATCATCAAATATTGTACCTGCATAACATCCAACGTACGGACGATTCTCCACAACAAGACAACATTTCCCAGTTTACCCCCGAAACCAGAGCGCAGAAAATTCAGTGGGTGTAAATAAGGGCTTTAATTCTTCCGCAAGCAACTTGTCTCCTGGTATCCGAAGTTAATTGCTCGCAAACTTTTCACACTCCCTTCTGATATAAAAGGGAATTAATTCCATAAATCCACACATTGTATTCATTCCACCCGTGTGCTTTTGCGCGCTCTGTAAAACGCTGCCGTTTAAAGTTTAGCGTTGAAATAAACATTTTTGCACCCAAGATTCACTGGAAGTTCGGGGGTCACGTCTCCTTAAGTTAACAAGCACTACCTTTTGTTGTTGCTCATGCTTTCGGAGACGTCAAATACACGCCTCGCTAATTTCTAGAGGTGATTTTTAGCACCCACTGTGGTTGGGAGCAATAGTTAATCCTTGGCTATCAGTTACAGGGGTTTGTCTGTAAAAATGTGCCACGCTCACCTCTCGGGTGCAAAGAAGATGCATTTCAAGGCATTTAAGAATAAAGATCGCCATTGCAAATTTCATAACTTTGGTTGAAATTATGCGGACGGTAAGAGTGCCTTATCACACGGGAGTAGAATTTCGAAAATAAATTTGCAAGAGCCAATGCAACAACTGGAAACAAGGAAATTTCAAATGGGAGAATTCCCAATATTCAAAATATTCTCCGCCACTGCCTGCAGATATTAATCTGGACCCCCCACCCCCATTACAGCAAATAACTACGGCTCAGCACATTTCATGTGAAGCAGAGTCCGCGTTTATTTAAAGACTGGAGTCTAAGTACACAAACGTGTGCTCATTCTCTGAAAGGTGTAGGTCAAAACATTGCTTGTAAGTATTACTGGTCATTATAATCACAAACTGTACTTTATTTAGGAGATTTAATAGTGAACACCATAATCTAAAGAAGAGAAAAGATCCCAGCCCTTAAACTAATAAGTGGATTTGCAAGGTACAGCTAACCTGTTGCTTTACGAATATTGTTTAGTATTTAGACTTCTCTTAATACCTGGTTTAATGTTATATACGGAGCATGTAAAATTACATTTCCCTAATTTGACAAAATAGTCACATACTTTCAAAGTACGGTACTTCCCAATTATTGTAATATTTTGCTTGCACGTAGTTGCTTCTTTTTAAGTATACACATTATATATTTATTCCGGCATCGTCTTACGAGCATTTGCATTATATACATATCTGCACATTTGTGATGTATAAAGTTGAGCCGTTCAGAGTTCAAATGAATGTTGTTCCCGAGGTAAACGCTATTCT